GTTATACCAAAAATTATATTTGATCTTGAACTTTTTAGAAGTTTTTGGTTAATTTTGCCAAAGATTTTGTGATAGCAATAGGCATATTTTATTACGCATATTACGAGACATTTCGTTTCAAAAGCCTGATGGGGATCATATCATTCTGCTCGGGATCATCCTGCATAGTCGGATTGCTCACTCAAAAAATGCGTAGAGGGCCTCAATAATGTAATAACGGTAATAACGCTGCTAACAATTATGTAATACAGCTGTAGCTGTAGGATTTTGGATTTTCCCGACAAATTTGTCAAAAACCGTAAGTCTCCGACTTTCTTGTCCATCAGCCCTTTTGAGAGCCTTAGCTAATTCTGTTGATTTAATCTTTCCGTAGCCTGGCAAAACTCTATTCAATCAATGTATTAAAAACATAGGCGTACACTTCTAGCTAATATTGGTTTGATGCAAAACTAATGCGACTTATTCTTGAGCGGCAGAAAGGTGTAAAAATCTGTAAATCACATTATTCGATAATGCAAAGCAAGATGGTGTTCAAGCAATTTCAAATAGTTTGACGCGTGGAAAATTAGGAAAGAAAATCTAATCGACAATTGAATCTCCAGAAAAATCCTACAAACCTTGAACCTCAAACCTTTTATTTTTTCCTTGCGAAAAAAATGAGACAAGAAACATACTAACGTATAAAAAATTGCATGGCCTAAGTGAGATTCGCGGGATCATTTCGACAGAAATCTGATTATTGGACAGAATTTTTAGAAATCAGCGAAGACTGAACCTTTTTCATTTGTTAGATTGAATCTTTTACATTTTTTGGAAGCTATTTTGTAGACCTTGCTTTGTTCTATTGTATGAGGGATTTCGTACGTTTTTTATACCATCTAAGCCGCTCGAACAATGAACATGCATTAATTTTGCATCAATCTACATAATATTTTGCCAGTATCTAACTAATTTATCAAGACGGCATCTGTTAGGTTGCTTTTTTATAAAGCATTCCTTCTTCTCGTACTTCTCTTGCATCCGAGCCCCAAGTATACCATGAGCACTTTTGGAGGCAGAATTACTTAAAAGTAACGAAGAATTTCAATAAGAGGTCTCTTTTCTCGGCACGCACCTATATTACGCTGTTTTTACTCGGCTCCCTGCCGAATATATCGAGGCATGTCAGAGCTGCCAAGACTAATTACGTTTACTACACTTCATTACATGCAGAGCTGAGTTATCGCCTCTTCTCTATAGACTTTCATTCAAAGAGGCCATATGTACATTTTCCTTGTTGGCCTGACTTATATGATTCCTTCAAGTTAATCACACATCCCGAAATTTGTTCTTCATTTTCAAACATTTCAGGATAGATCTGGTTCTATGCTTTGCGCGAGGTAGTACAGTTTATGTATCCGCATTAAATAACAGCGTAATGTTACCTTGTGATTGCTCGGAAATTTTGGAAAACTGCACATTAATTGACTTTGCACAGATTTTGGCTAAGTTGAATTCATAACGTGATAATTGACCATAGAAACGAAACAAGAAGCATCATTTTATATGGTTCTGTTGGATTACATCCGGTCGCAGCTTTTATCGTTTTTTGCGAAACAAGCGATAAAAATTGTTTGAACATATGTGTACCAATCATTGAACTCTTCTGTCTGTTCTTTGAATTTTATGAATTTAGTAGTGTACCAACTCGGCTTCATGGCTTACACTATCATAAGCCATGCTCAGAAAGAAAATAAATTCTTGGAATTTATAGTGGAGCGATGTAGAACAAATAGAATTTGAAGCCTATTTCTACAGTTCAAGATCTGCATGCATTTGTAGGTGTGTTGCAAATAAAATCATTCCACAGCTGTAAAAAAGTATAGGTCACTTGCAAAGGTTACTGTGACTAGAAGATTAACTTCATAGCACGTATTTTTTTCAGTGCTCCATCTATGTAGTAATGATCAAACAGAGAAGAAAGGTTACTGTATTCTTATAGCGATTACAGTGCAATGACTGCCCGAGTATGAAAGTGCCAACTTTGTAAGCAAGTTCCTTTTGTTCCTTTTGCAAGCCATAAATGAGTTCAGCTGGAGTCTAAGGAATTTCACAAATAGCTAGTATATTGAACAATTAGCTTGGATACCGCGAGGGTGGGCTGCCTTAAGGTAGTGAATCTACCTTAATTCTGATAAAAACAAGACACTTTTATGGGCAAAATGACAGACCTGTGAAGAATTTCTTGATAATCAAACCATGTGCCTCTACAACTGCTAACAGATGTAGGAAATAACCGTACTCTATGTTTTGGGTGATTATGTGTCGATTGTCTTCAAAGAGTCAAACTGCATCTTTCGCAAGCCCAAAAAACCTGCAGCTAAGGTTTAGCCTAGCCAAACAGCTTGAGGACAACAATTCTCACTTGTTTTCCTCCTTCCGTGAGAAAGCTGGGTGTTCTTTTTGCCAAAATGCAAAATCAAGCCGCCTCTACGATGATTCTATTCTTCAAGCGCTCAGCTTTTCGAGAAATGATGAAATGGGTATGAAGACTTTCCTTCCTTTCTCTTCCGCATTCAGTTCTGTGTGAAACTATTAGGTTGTAAAAAAAGTTCCCGGGCGCTTGCGAATTTTTTTTCCAAATTGCTGTAACTTCAAACAGGCCGATCCTTTTTGGAGCTGCAAACTTTACTGCAAAGGCAATTTTGTCTACAAGGTATGCCTGTTTTGTTGGGACCCTCAGCACTTCATTTTGGGCCGCCAGCATGTGCAGTAGGGAAAAAGGTCGACTTAATATCTGGCCTCTTAGTGCAAGAATTTCTCAGGCACGAAGAGATCTGGAGAGCCCATATCCGGTACTTATGTAGAACTCTGCTAGGGCTGTTTACAGACTGTATCACAATTATAGAGGATAACCTGTTAAAAAATTGTTCTCTCAAAAATTGAAAAATTGGCCATTTTTTGCACACTAAAAATGCCCAATTTTTTGAGTTAATGAGTTTCAATTCCTTCTTTTTTCCACGGAACGAATCGAATTTTTAATTGCGCAAATTGGTAATGTCCCGCACATCTTTTGGGCCCATCACCATTTCGTCGATTTTGTGAGCTTGTAATTCTCGCGCGTATTGTAAAATCCGAACACAGCTGCAGTTTTGAAACAGCCTCCTAATTTAAAGCGACCAACTTTTGAATGTTTGTTCATTGCGAAAAAATGGCAGCAAAAAGAAAAAATGTGAAATTTCATCGTTGCACAGACTTCCTTTTTTGGTGTGTAAGTCAAATACGGTTTGACATCTATGAAAACTGAATGCGAATCTGGAAAGTGGCTTTCTTCTTCAGTACCATAAAAAATATCTATCCTAGAGATCTAACCGAGGCGAAAAAACGAGTTTGAAAATGAACTTTCCAAAACTGCCCAGAAACTTTCTTTACAACCCAATACATGGTCTTTCTGCTGCACTTTGGTACCTTAGTACCCTCCCATTGCTGAATTAGCTTACTAGGATAACGAAAAACTGGCAATCCTTCACTTGTGTTAACTAAATTTTCCGGATATTCCCAACATGTGCACAATATTTAGCCAATTTCCATTTTCTGCATAAAAAAGCAATTTCGAGGTGCAGTTGACATGTGCGCATCGGTTACGGTGACATTATCTAAACTTTCCATCCAAAATTTTTGCACTAATGGGATTTTCTCTTCCTCTTTCTCTTTCTCTCTCTCTCTCTTTCTCTGCGCACAGCCGTCGCACAATTGTAAGATTTGTTATTTTCGCAAATGCATCAAGAATTGCACGAAAATTCTCAAGCAAATTTCTCCAATTTCGTGCTTGATGCATCAGATTTTTTTATTTCCGATTGTCTCTGTTGACTTGAATTGTCAGTTATCATTTTTGCATACTATGATGATAAACAGTCTGTATATAGTGATTTATAAAAAAACCGGAAGTTGCTCTTGCAATAAGCAAAAAGCACTTGATTTTCTAGTTCCCTACGTATATATAAGAGACCCTACAGTGTCCAAAATCGAATCTCCTTAGAAAGAAATTGACGTTCCATTTGAACTGTCAAAATTGCTCTAGTCGCAGTTATAAATTTTCTGGAAATTTCTCCCAAAAGATGGCTGCAAGAACTTTTGCACGACTATGAACTCATTTTGGATTTGCATAGATAATTATGCCATCGTTCGAAGCTTTCGCGTTGGGGGACTGCTCTTGGAATAATCTAGAAATCTACTACTTGACCACTAACTTTGATTCAACCCAATTCTGCACTCTTGTCGGCTATAGTATGCGCACCATTATGACTCCAGAGGATTATGTCTTCCCCTTATTACTCTTCTTTTTTTAAGTGAAGAAAGTTATGAAGTTTTACATGTGGTCGCAGATGTGAGAAATCATTTGCTAACATTTCCAAGTAAATAAGTTTATCCCTCGTGCGCACTAGAAAATCTCTTTTCATCATTACCGTAAAAGAAGGATCAAATAAATGTTGTTATTTTTAGATTCTACTTTATATGTACATAAGCTTGAAAGAGTTTGGAAGGAAAAGCTTTCAGATCACTTCGTTTGTTTCCTCGCTAAGTTCGAGGCTCACTTCAACTGGGTAAGGTCCGGATGTGAGACGATGCTAATGCCAACTTCCATATTTTTTGTCTAAAATCAAATTCGATTGCTGACATTTGTTAGAAGAAGTTCTGATGTCTGAAATTGAGTTATTTCTCGTGATTTTCCTGAAGCTGCCACAAACCGCGTAATTTGCAATTCGATTACCATGCGATACCCCAAACGCGAACATTCTGCAAGTCTGGACCTTCGGCCACTCTCATGTCCTCACTTTGTCTGTATCCCCGTATAAATCATATGCATCCTTTGTTATTGCCGAAAAAACATAATCTTGGCATCACGAACATGAGGAAAAATTTTTTAACTCACAATCAGAATAATCTCATCCCATTTCTTTTTCTAGCACAGACATTACGGTACTTTTTATGCTTGTACCTGCATAACCTTTGACATTTAGGACCTGATGTTCAACATACTCCTTTCTATGGCAAAGGAGGGCTCCTCCGATTGCCCACAGTTCACAACACCAGGACGTAAGTGTTCCACTCCCACCTTGTCTTCTCGAATTCGAGCAAACGTTACAGGATCAAGCAGAGATAATCTCATAAACACAGTCTACAAATTGCATCGAACGCGGTTACGTATATTAGAGCCTTACAGGTTTGTCAAACTCTTCATTTCAAAAATAAAAAATACTATGAAACCAACGAAGTTCCTTCACATCTGTCAAATTCTCATGGATTAAAGGAAATACGAGAAAAGTTAGGCTTCATCAGTAAAAGAGTTTAGCAAGCTGAAGAGAGTTTAGAGGGCATTTTGCCCTTCAGCTTTGATCTCGCGATTCTAATGTTAAGTTGAAAAGTATTTCCAGAATCAAGATGATGAGCAATGAATATCCTTGATTTCAAGCAAGTTTTGCTGTAGGACATTGTGATCCTGCCAATCTAGAAAATTCAGTGGAAACAAAGCTGGTTATTGAACTAGCTTTGAATCGGTTTGAGTGTAAATTTCTGGAGACGTTCGCTTTTTCAAGAAAAAGAAAAAAGAAGATTAGCCACACCTCAGCCAAATTTTCTAGATCTCAATTCTTTCCAAGTGGTTCTACCCTGTTCCAGCAGAGTGCTATATACTGTTTTTCTAAATAGCTTCATATTTGCTTTCTAAGGTTGAACAATGCTTTGATGTTTGTACGTTTTTGTATATAATTTGCATTGTACAATTTGAAAAGGAAATGCATTCCATTTCTCAAATTGTACTTTTTTTGAAACAAACAAAAATGCGAAAATGACTTCCCACATACATTCCGACAGTTTAGCTATTTTGTTCATCTCTTCGATGCAAAGTGTTTCAGGAAATTAAAAAATGCACTCAAACAGCTCCAAGAGGATTATCTCAAGTCCAAGGAGGCCAATCCCATTATGCGATATATGAAATTGCAACAAAGTGTACGGGAAGTATGTAGCTTAAGCTCTGAGAGCTTGTTAGGGTAAAAAGAACATGTGTTTCAGGTAGTTATAATGGAGAAGCAGTACTGGAAGTTGCTAGATATTCCAGCACAAGACGGCGCTGAAGAATCTAATGATTATGTTGTAAGGTATGTAGCATAATTACAGGCTCGCTTAGGCTGCTAGACTTACCAATGATGCTACCAGCACAGTGTTGTTAACGCCGTGCCGGAACGGCGACGATCCACAAAAGGTGCGCTCACATCGATTCCGACACGGTTATGGCACGGCGCTGAACCCTACACAGGGGTAACGCTGAACGTGGCCTCAGTGTGTATAATTTGCTAAAATTCAAAACATTTGATAGAAGAGGAAGCGCATTTGTACTAGTGCAAATCGAGATTAGGAAAAGATCTTGAAAACATTTATGAAATATTACTCTCTTGGCGAGTTGGTACTGTTGACTCTTCACTTCTAGGATCATTCATCTACTCGAAGAAACATCGTCAGCTCCACCATCCGGTGGAATTGGCGCACTTCTCAGTTCGACAATGATGGGACGAAATGTTGAAACACGAGTAGATCAAAGCCTTTATGACTCCATAAAAAGTAAGTTGTTTATGTGGCAAAATTTCCAGCAATCCATGGCTAATTTATTTCAAGATGTTTTTTGTTTTACACCAGTCATTCAGTTTTTGTATGAAAATACAACGCTGAGGAAGCACGTAATCGTTTTTGTTAAGGTCGCAAAACCGAGGAGTTGCAAAAGGATTGCGAAAATATGTATGTACAGCTATATAAATTGATAAGGAAGTACCAGGGTTTGAGGAGGATCATCAAGGTGAGCGAAACTTTAAACGGCTCGGACGATTTGTAGAACCCGTCGAGATAGCAATTTATGGCAAAATTCATTGCATGCTCCGCGCAACCTCTTCACCATAATTTGCTCGGCAAAAATTGCTGCAAAATGACACACCGCAGTGACCTGCTGGAAAGTTCACTCACCTTTTAGAGCAGAAAAATTTTATGCATTCGAAAGTCAGCTAGCTATGAACCAACCAAAGCTTTCTCAAATCAACAATCAACCCTTGAGAGAGGTTCTACTTTTGTTACGATTTATGATCTACGCGGAACTGTACCTCACTCCAAAATGAAGCACTGGTACCCTTTTATTATGCCTTTACTTGCAGGAACTCCATGACAAGTACGACGCATCACGGATGTACCCCATAGTCCCACGATATCCTCTTCTGAAGAAAATGATTAAATCTGCTCTAAGAGCACCTGAATTTGCCGATATTTGCCATGAACAAACAGAGTAATTTGTTGCTATGCAATGAAACTATCAAAATTTACATCGAGAGTTGTGCTTGTTTGTTGTTTATGTAAAGCATTTATATCATTGGAGCAGAGGTATACCAAAACTCGTAATTAGCGGGATGAATACAACGAGAAGCAAGTGAGACGGATGATGGTAGATCAGATTAATAGAAGAGTCTAACTTCTTATGGGGGACAAGCTACGAGAGCAGTTAGAGGAGCACAATCTGATGAGGACGAAATCATTTGGACATTAGATCCTCCAGCGAATAGATTATCTTGAAGTCCTGTTTTGCATTTTCTGACAGTGGAGCGTTTCCCTCTCGAACCACAAGCATCGCTTGCAGCCCAGCACTTTTAGCAGCTCTTGCTTCTGATAGTCAGAGTTTCGGTTAAAATCACTAACAACACAAAAATAGACAGTTATGGAACTTACCTGCTTCAACGTCGGTAAGAAACAGAACTTTAGAAGGCATTGCCCCTATTTGCTCACAAATCTTCTCGTAAGACTGTGATTCTCCCTTGAGCCCAACATTGGTGTCAAAGTAACCGGAGAGAACCTGCAAAGGGATTAAATTTGAACTTTTTCATGAGAGTAGTACATATGAGAGAGTAGTCAAAATCCCTAAATTACAAAACTTGTGCATTAGCAGAAGTTCATAATCTTATGACTGCAACACTTATATTCCGGAGATCTCCGATAAACAAGTTAGTTTTCAGGTCGCTGCAAGAGCTTTTGAAAAAATAACTTTGTATCTCTGAGAATGACAAAAAGACAATAAATTACGGTTTTTGACATTTCTAAACCTAACTCAGAGAACGAAGTAGATCATTTTCTGTAAATTTTCACTATAATTCTCTGAAAGCTTTGACCACTAAACGAGGGTACGAAAAAGATATACAAAAGATAACATTATAGCATACGGATAAGTTTGATTCTTGCGACTTTCTCGTGTATTAATTTTTGTACTCAGTTCATCCCTATTTTGAAGTTAGCATGTTGCAAAGAGTGTACCATCCATGCAAACCTTCGTCATGTCTCCAACCACAGAATGTTCAAACAACAACTTCTGGGCTAGCACAGACCCAGAGGAGTAGATGTAAACGGGTACCGACAGCGCCTTCAGCGAAGGTAGAACATCCGGGTAAACGCTAGAACATATATGAATTGTCAAGTAAATATATGTTGTAAAAGTCCTATACTCACTGTCCTTTGACGTCTCCTCTTTTGTAGGCTTCTTCCCAGATCAAACCTTGCAAGGCTTTCATAGGCGTGACCTGAAATTTATCTGCAGCAAAGGTTCATCCTTTTGAAGAGACTAATACGATCGTGCAGTTTCATTTCAGATAGTTCATGAATGACTGCTGATTTCTCATTTGAGACCATAAGCTATGGAAACGTACCTTCTTATCGATATCAATCCAGTGTCTCACATTATGACTGACATCTTCGACACATTCCTCTTTATTGTCTCTCACTATTCTGAAAGCTGTCTCGATCAAGTCCCTTCCTTTTCCCCACTTTAGGAACCAAATCTATTCTCCAAATCTCACCTTATACCAGTATCCAACCTTGACTCTTTCTGGGAAACTTCTCTGATATCGTCTATTATTTTTGTCAAAGTAGCGTCATCAAAATGCTCTCGCAGAAATCTTTCCACACCTTCATGAGCACAAGGGAATAGTACATCCTTGAAAAAAACGAAAATCTGTTGTAACCGGAAGTCATAACGGACGTGAGTGCACTGACCTTCACAAACGAAATACTTGTTATGGTACCTTCGATGTCAAGAAGAAGATAAGAGAACTCGGGCATGATTATCTTCCGCTATCTGGAGAATTTATGTCGCATACGAATTGATTGAGAATGCGCGGAATCTAATATAATAAATTCCTAGGACCATTGATCATGAGCATAACAGCTGTCAAAAGAAATAAAAGAGCTTGAGAAGTCAAACATTGGAGCCGATATTTGGCAAACTCCAAAAAACAGCTTTTGAGCAGAAGTACTAGGTCTTGGTAAAGGAAGTCGACGAAATTTTCAAACTTGGATCAGGCGATGGTTCCATCTTCAACTATCATTTTTTCTTTATGGATAACGAAAGCCAACCCAGATCATTCCATTCTCTTGATTCAGGTAACTCTAAAAAATTTGGTGGCAAGAGATTGATACTCCGAGCTGGAAAGGCTAGCGGACAGTGGAATTTCAGAAAACTCTAGATTTTTGCTTAATACTCGAAAATTTCGAATGTGCACCCAAACAAGGGAAATTTTTTTCCTCACGAATAAAATGTCAATTAGATCACAAATTGAAGACCTATCGATGGGAACAAGGTGTTCGGCCAATAGTGGATGCAAAGCATGGTAAATGAGGTCAATTCAAGCAAAGAAAACAGCGACAGTGAGGGATACTTGCTTGCACTTCATAATGTGTCATGTCCTCCAGATAGGATAGTGCAAAAGAATCGGGGTCGTGAACTATTAAATGTAAGAAAGGGTTATCAAAGATTATCAAACGAAAAGATAAAAAAGACACTGGGTAGACTACTATCCATCTTGACAGCAACTATGAATGAAGACGAGAACGGAAAAAATTCCTGTGTTCAAGGCTTACGAACGTTTGAGCCGTATTTTGAATATTTATAAGAATTTCAAGAAGTTGATATTCACAACATGCAAACCAAAACTCATACAACAGCTTGTGTTCAAGAATGATTATGATTGCTAGCAACTCGGCGTATACTATTTACAGCAGTAAAAGCTTACACAGACCAGAGAGAAAAGTTTTCCACAGGAGTACAGCGATTCAAGCAAACATGGACGAGGAGTTCAGTTAGCGTCAGGAGAGAAAAAAGAGGAAAGCCGATGAAAAACCTTGCACGAAGGAGTAAATGCACTGTATACATGTCAACAGGAAATAACGATCCAATGTGTTTTGAGAACAACAGTACCATTTTAAAAAAATTGTGACCCTGTTTATCTAGGCTAGGACTTTCGGAATAAAAATTGGAGCGAAGAACAGGAACAGCGTTGATTAGCGAGTGGAGCAGCATTTGTAAAGCGAGCGCATTGGCGATTATAAGTGCAACTGCTCTTTAACTAGACTTCGCAATCACGAATCCGTCGGAAACTTCGAAGTAGTGCACAAGTAAGCTACAAGTCCTCTTTTAAACCTAAATTGCTTTTCAACATCTGGGGGAAATTCCTGAAGGGTAACATTGAAAGGTGTTTTGCCTTCTACCGTAAATCAGAAGGCATCTCAATTCGTCGCCATTCGCAATTCTATTAAGGCAATGGCGCGCATGCACAGATAATTTCAAAATAAACTTTTTGTAAAATACTGACAGCAAAAATCGAGTTATCCTTGCGTTGACTCGCTTGTATTCTCCAGAACGAGCTTTTCCCACTTTTCCACTATTCAAATGGAATTTCCTCTAGTGAACACTCGTGATTATCTGTAACCGAACAATCTTTATGAAGTTCCTTGAATTTTTTAAGGACTTAATGAGATCTTCCCTTCTCCTGGTAGGATTCTATAAGCTGGATCTGTTCTAGTGAAACAGTGCGTTGAGTTTCCACCATGGGTTACACGAATACTATCACTTGTGCATTTTCTAGAAAAACGTTTGTGAGTTCCGGTTCAAAAATACGGCGTTTCCTAACGCAGTCAGGTAAGTTAAGGCTAACTATTAGGTTGTAAAGAAAGTTCCCGGGCAGTTTTAGAAATTTCATTTTCAAACGCATTTTTTGGCGCTCGGTCGAAGTTTGACACCAAGTGTTGTATAGTGTTCAGTAGAGCGAAGCGTAAGCTTTTCAATACCGCTTCTGATTTCTATCGATGCCAATACGTGTTTGATCTACACATTAAACAAGGAAGTCTTTTCATTCACAATCTTTCTTTCTGAGGCCATTTTTTTGTGCAGTTCGAAGAATTCCGTTCAAATTATGGGTGATCTGATTGAGGAGCCTTTTGACTTCTAATCCGCAGCTGCATTCGGGTTTTGCGATCTGCGCTCAGAAATTACAAGCTGTCGAGCTTGCACCTGACTGCATCTCTTTTCGCAGCTGGCGTCGCTTCTGCGGGAATCGCCACGCCTGGATGATGGGTCCAAAAGATGTGTAAGGCATTAACCCAACAATGTTCGCAGTAATCAAAGATTTGGTCCGCCCTGCGCAAAACGAGAAGACTTCAAAGCAACTTACTCGAAAAACGGTGCAATTTTGGGGGCAAAAAATGGTCGATTTTTCAACTTTTCTGGAAAAGAATTTTTTGCAGGTGGTCACTCAAAGAATTAAATAGTGTACATAACAGCCCCAGCAGACTTCTATATAAATACAGCATCTGAGCTCTCCAGCTCTTACCATGGCTGAGATAATCCTGCACAAAGAGGCCACTTTTCGCGCTGACCTTTTTCCATTTTGCGCATGCTGGTGTACCGTAGTGAGGTGCTGAAAATCCAGCAAGACAAATATACGTTGTAGACAAAATTGTCTTTGCAGTGGAGTTTGTAGCCCTGAAGAAAATTCAGCCTGTTTGAAGCTACAGTGATTTGAAAAAAATTTTCGCAAGTGCCCGGTAACTTTCTTTACAACCTAATAGTTCCAGACGCCTCATATACCGAATTTGAAAATGTTTTTTCTTTCAAAACGCAAATGATTTTGTCTATGTATGTATCTACACTGCCTCGAGGTGATAATCGAAAATTCTTGATCGTACTGATTGTCGGTCATTTATGCCTTAATATGGCAACAAAAAATTTATTTCGATTAATACCTGATAATAAGTATAATTTAATCTGAAAGTGAAACTAAGAGACCCGTGAGGCTTTGCGCACATTGTCTTAAAAAAAAGTTGAACTTGCTTTTTCCTCTGTGGCGATTAGTCCTAGATTAAAAAATCACAAGTGTAGAATTGTAAACACTTAATCAAATTTATTTTGACAGCGTGAAACGCGTACTCGAGTCTCCTAGTCTTCACAATATGTTGATTTATAGGCTATCAGCGGACGAATGCGCAAACTCAGGGACGCGAACGTGATTCTGTTAGCCGCAGAGCGCATGAAGCGCGGGCAACCCAAGGTGAAGATAAGCGCGCGGCGCGTTCGCAATCGCTTAACTAGGACTGGTTTTGCGCTTTGGTCCGACAGTAGCCTTTACATCATACGTAGAGGTAGTATGGGTGCTAGTCGTGCTCAGATTCAATTCTGGGGTATTGTCGTCCGATGTAGTGGTGCTAGCGCGCACTGTGGTAGGTCTTGTTTCATTGCTGTCACAGAATATAACTCCTCCCAGCACCATTCTTTCTCTTGTAAATAGAAGTTCGTCATTTGATGGAATCATCTGCCAAAAGAAGACCTAAACAAGTTCTATTCCACAGAAGTACCGGTAATGGCTGTGCACACCTCCTCATCAGCCCATGTACAGTTTTCTGTGCTAAGATTCTCAAAAAGCTCGATGGATGGACAATCATTCACTGAGCATATACACGGCGCTTCATCGAAGTACTTTTTTTTCAAGCAAGGCCCAAACAGTTCGCGCCTCTAAATTCATCCAAGTGAGAAATGCGTATCTTCAATGTTGGAGATGTCTTTGAAGTCTGATTTTTGCCTCTACATTCAGTATTCATGCTGGTATGTTGTTGAAAAAAAAGGAATTTCGCATTTTGTGCTATCATGTGGCTGTCGAAGCCGGGAAAATACCAAGGAAAAAAGGGCATAGATCACAGATATTCGATATAGTGAAGCAAGTCCTACACGATTAAAACTTGGATGCGCGCTCGCTTCTACCACTGCTCTGAGTAAATTAAACTTTTTTGATAGATATTTTGTTTGACCCCCAAAAACTCCTGCTTTCACCCCGGGACCAACCAAGTTCCAATTTTACTCCAAAAATGGCAGGATTTCGAGCCTCGATACTTAGCTTCTGCACGATAAGCTGCACTTATGCACAAGTTCATAGGATCTTGTTTTGCCAAAAAAAGTTCGGTAAAACGCGTTTGTTTTGGCCACGCGGACATCTTACAAAAATGTTGCGTTTATTTTTACTTAAACTTATTTTAACACTCAGCCTCAAAGCTCCGAGATTAGTGGTGCAAAAAATCCAAATATATCAGCACGAATACTTCATCGTACAAGCAGTGCATTTGTCTCATGAGAGACATGCACATGTAAAAGGCCAAGATAAGTATGATTGGAATGATACACAGCCGTTTGTAACATGACGTTTGGGTGGCAAACGCTCAATGTTGTAAAACATTTCTGGCAAACACAAAATCTTACTACTTGCACATATATACTTTGTGCTTAGCTTATCGTGGAACCGCAGAAGCTGATTTTTGAGGCTCGAAATTGTGCTCGCCCTAGGTTGGAATGTGGTTGAGAAACGGGACGAGAACGCGGAGATTTTCCAATCATTAAATAAAATATCTATCGAAAAAGCTTAGTCTACCTCATAACATAGTTAGTAGCTAATTACAGTGCTTCAACCGCAAAATTAGACGTTTTTGGAGCTCACTAACTCCAAAAGCAATTTGAGCCGTTTGAGAATAGTGGCGCTTTTCTTTTTAAACTGCGCTAGGTACAGTATAGCGGACATCCCAAACTTTGTTACTATAACTTAACAAAATTTTGATTTGAAAGGTTGCAGTTAGTTAAGAAAGGAGCTTCGTTTGAGACCTCGGGCAGAGTTCACGCGATTTCATCGTCGCGATTCATCGCACAAGACAACTGTAACAACATCATTGCATGTCGATCTTTTTGCATTTCGGTTGTGAAAGTTTTCCAACACGCCTAATCGTGACTAACTACCACAACCGAAATACAAGAAGATTGGCATGCAATGAACTCGTAACACTTGTCTTGTAGCGATTAAATCGCGACGATCAAATCTGTGAACTCTGCTCGAGGCTTAAGGTGTTCGTATAATTATGAACCGCCAAAAATCCGCATTCGGCGTAAAAACATTCCAATGATTAATACTGATTCTCATTTTCAAGCATCATATACAGTTTTCAGCTATACTCTTTCAGCTAGTAGCAACGGTGTTTGAATTTCTTTCAAAAGATCCCGAAAGTAAAACATGGGCTGTTCGTATAATAATGAACCGCACTTTAACTTGAAGTAGTTAGCTCGATAAGAAGAGCCATTGTCGTAAAGTAATTCCTAAAAACTCATGCTTTTCCAATTACGTAAATTGTGCGGCAATTGATCGGCTGAAGTAATAACAATAATTACTTTTGTAATATCTCCTTCATCATTTGTTCTGCATTCAGACCATTCACCCCATTTTAAAACGTGGCATTTGTAGTCTGACAGCGGCGACGTCGGATAATCAGATTCAAATCTGTATTTTTCTCTAAATTTTTCAATTTACACAAATTCTGAAGTAGTCTGCAGAAAACGTCCAAAGCTTCTCAACGCTATTATCACTTACATAATGCTTCCTCTATGCACCCAAGGAATTATAGCGAACGTTAGCGATCCTACTGAAAGCCTGAAATCAGCAAGTACGATGAATTTGAAGGTGCTACCTACTCCAAATCAGAACATGTCCCACAACTTTCATAGTGAAGAGCATGTTTACCAGCCACCCACAATGGTGTCTGCAAATCTAAAAATGAGGAACACGATGATAATTAAGATTATTATTTGCAAAATTTAAGAACTTGATGCAGTTGAATAAGCATTTCGCAGTGAATCCAGCAATCAAGCATATCTTTGCCAGATACTTGATCATCTCCCCTCACTCGATGCTTCAGACTTGTATCATTCAAAAAGGCAAAAACTGGTGAAGCTCAGCTTGTACGCTTCGCAATCTTTCTTGCAGGTATGGCCCCAGTCATACTTCACGCGATCTTATTCGCTATGCGATCTGGCAATTTGCTAGATATCTTTGAATCCAACACTCGCAGACTACGAATGCACAATATGCATAACTTTTTTATTCAGTAAAGTTCTCTGTCTTCTTTCGTATTCAGAGCTCGCTTGAGATGACCTATAAACAGTTGGAACTTTGTCAAATCGCGTCACGACTAAAATCGCGTGAAGTACGTCCAAAGCCTTTTCTGTAGGAAAGGAAACGTCCCAGAACAGATTCTTGGTCTATAGTTGCATTCTGGTCTCTACTTCAAGTATTTTCAAGAATTTGAAAATCAGTAAATTCCCTCGCTGCAGGTTGAATCGAGAACACTATTTCTATTCTATCTATAGAGATTGAATAAGTAACAAATGAAACAAGCAGAGACATCTGGAAGTCTGATGATGTTTGACGTTCTTTCATTTGTTTCAATATACTGCGAAACTCAGATAAGTGCATTCATCGTCTGTGGAATCGCTCAAATGTACAATCATTCCATTTCAGTAGTTATTTTCATTGTCGGGTTATGTTCTTTGATGCAAAAAATCTCGAGCATTATCCAGAGCAAAAGCGGTTCATGAGCCTCTGTCACAATTATTCCGTTGAGATTTACTTATCAATAAGATTGCTATTCATTCCATCTCTCTTTTGTCATAGATGGTACCTCAACGCTCATAAAATGCATTTATTAATGAGGAATATCGCAATACCCTTAAGTAATCAATATCACAAGAATTCAAAGATGAGACTGCTTCCTTGCAAGGTTTTCGGCTAGTTTATCCATAAACTCGAATGTGTTCAAATAGTCTGAGCGTGTTACTCTGCAAAGAATAGATTAATCATTGCAAATTTATATGAAGTCAAAACCACTGACCCATTCATTCCCTTGATGCAAATGGCGAGATCTTTGGTGAGAAAACCATCTTCCATTGTTTCAATGCACACCTAAAAACAACGAACCTTTGTTATACGAAATACCTTGTCTATGGAAGACTAGGAGTATACAACTAAACAATTTTTTACCTTCTCAAGATTTTCAGCAAAATGTTTGAGATCAGTATTGTTGTCCAAAAGAGCCCTATGCGACAAGCCTCGAGTCCAAGCGAATATCGATGCTGAAAATCAACTTTTGAGACAATCTCAAAATCAAAATATATATCCCATTACCTATGGGGTTCGTGGATGTTTCTTGTCCTTTCTGGTGCATTCTATAGTGCCGTGTTACTGTACCATGAGCGGCTTCGGCCTCTACTGTCTTGCCGTCTGGGCATACCAGAACCGATGTCATAAGTCCGAGGGAGCCATACCCTGAAAAAACCACAGATAGGGACCAAAATTCATGGCTATTTTCAGTGAACGGGTACCTTGAGCTACTGAGTCGGATTGTACGTCCCCGTCGTAATTTTTGCATGCCCACACAAATCCACCTTCACTTTTCATGGCTTGTGCAACCATATCATCAATCAAGCGGTGCTCATACCAAATACCAGCGGCTTTATATTGTTCTTCATACTCCTACAAATACAAAATAATCATGAGTAGGCTCCCGAAGATCTAGCAAAGCAAAGGTGGTGAAACCCAGCAGCCTAACCTTGTAAATCTCAGCAAAGATGTCCTTGAATCGGCCATCGTACTTCTTCAAAATAGTGTTCTTAGTTGACAAGTACAAGGGGTAACCTCTTTGCAGAGCATACTTGAAGGAGGCATGAGCGAAGTCTCTGAAAACATAAAACGAAATCTGAGTTGAGCACTAGAAACACTAAACAGATTAGCTGCTCCATTTTGCAACCAGGTAAATACATCCAAAACTCGCTTACCCGAGACTTGGTAGGAATTTTTCCGAAGTTACCTTGTGAAAATGACTTGTTTCTACTTGTTAATGAAGAAATAATCATTACATTTTTTTAAAAGTCAATTTGACTCGGAAAAATTTTTTGAGGGCGACTTTCATGGTTGTAAGCTTGCACAATCAAATTTTTGCTCCACTAAGTGGTCACAACTCTCGTCCCAAACGCTCTGCAGATAAGGAAGGCAGATTGGGAATCAGCATTTTATGCCCTTCAATATAATATACATTCCATCATAAAGACCACTTCGACTAAACATGCTCTTCTTGTTAGAATGATATTGCAAAAATGCTTGATAGTACAACTACGTTTGATTTCGTAAACTAGAATTTTCAGTTTTGAAGGCTTCTCTCTACCCTGATCACAAAATATGAGCAATCTCTGCCACAGCCGCTTGGACGACCACGTACGTCCTAGAAAAATAGTAAAAGAGCTCGCTTTTAAGACTTGCCTAATTGACTCATCAGTGTTGTACATAGAAAGTGACACTCCCGGTCCTTTGAAGTCATGCACTTCGCGTGTGATTCCTTCAGAACCATCGGCGGGTATAAATTTGATCTCAATCTTTCCGGGACCAGGTACGACGAAATCGGTGGCTTTGTACTGGAACGATGAAGGTGTGAATTTGTCATGGGCGTTAGACTGTAAGCGGCAGATACCTGGTCAGCATGTGCATGACGGCCAATGATGATCGGCTTCTTCCAAGAGTTAACTAGTCGAGGTACATTTTTTACGATGATTGGCTCCCGAAAAACAGTTCCTAAAATTTTATCGTAGGGCGCTATGTTTCCAGACATGGTGACAGGCACAGGTATCAATGATAGTTTGAAAGTATGGAAATTGTCAACTACAAGATAAGAAAAAAATTCGCTGTGAGATAGCTGGTTGTTCATTGTTAACTTTCTTCGATTGTTCTAACAAATATGTTGTTTTCCCTAGACTACGCAATTTAGAAACGTTCCGATAATTCTACTTCAAGTCGAAAAATGTCTAGATTTTACGCCATTATTTGCTCACCTCCAAGGATGTTACGGATAGTTCCATTGGGAGATTTCCACATCTTTTTCAGTTTGAACTCTGTAAAAGTGTGTTAAGGTATTTTTTTAAATTGAAAAGTACTTGCCTTCTACGCGAACTTCATCGGGAGTGATAGTGGCACATTTCACGGCTACATTGTATTTCAAGGTCGCATGGGCAGCATCAACGGTCACTGAAGTGAGCCATTTGTGATTCTTGCTCCAAACATATTAGGTGGATACATATAAGTCTTGCACCAAAATTTTGAAAAAGCAATGATCTTCTTCAACTTTAATGAAAATTTTTTACTTTGAATATTATATGAAGAAAATTTTGCACTTTCTAAAAGTACTTGAAACAAGTATATTACTGCCAACAGCAGTGATACAAACTGATAAAGAAAAGCACCAGTGAATATCAATTTAGCTCGCTAAACTGAGATGTCTACTATAGCCTCGTTTTCGTTTTGCTTTGCTTTTGTGGTATGTCTTTTGTACATGGGAGAAAATCGTACTTATTAAACATTGCTGCAAATGGCTGTGATTTTCGCAGTTTCGTAATTAAACTTTTGCTTTCAACTCGAAGAAATTTCCAATATTTATGATAAGATACAAATTTTGATATATCTTGCAAAAAGTAAACGATGTGCTTTGTTTTTTTGTATTTTTTGGCGCAGGACTTACTAATAGTTAAGCATAAAGTAGCTGGTAATATCTAGGTGAATACGTTCGAGTAAACTTACCCTGATCGTTGGTGGCATCTCGATTTTGAATTGATAAATCGTAAGAGTGCAGATCAAGGTCGACGTAGGGAAAAATTAGCTTCTCCTTGATAAGATCCCAGATGATCCTGCGAATAATAGCAAAATAACAGAAAAATTCATTGCCTTTGAATATCACACGTAATGGAAACGTTTTTCACCATTGTAAATTGTTCTTCCAAAAACCATGCACTAGTTTATAAGAAGTAAGCCAATGTGTATTAACCGACCAGCGAAGGAATCGACATGGTGACTCAGATTTCGAGAATTTTGAACACGACGTGCCGCTTAACTTCGCAAGGAACTGCGGCATAGTAAATTTCGGAGGTGCTACGAAGATATAGGCTCAACTCTATAGCGAATGAAGAGCAGACGGGAAAAGGGACCAGAAAGGTTGAGAGAAATCACGAAATCCGGAAAAAGCGCATCAGGATGTCCAGGAGGTTCAAGAAGAAGAACGTAATGTGGTTCGGGAGTTCTTGCTGAAGAAGGTTTCATGTGGAAAAATGTATAGTTAAAGAGCAGTATGTGACTTTTCCCTGTCTTAACTCGTTTGACTGCACAGATGCCTGATAAACATGGTAGGACGCGTATAGGGTCCAAGCATATCGTCTGCGCCCCAGAGAGGCTCCTATAGGTACCACGTCATCTCGCTGCCTTTCGCACTTTTGAACGTGTTAAGCTCGGGCACTTCCATTGAAATCTCAGGAGAAACATGTCAAAAAGAGCGAAAGGCAGCGTTGCACCACGTACGCACGCGGTTCACATGGGAACCTCTCTGGGGCGCAGACGGTACCTCACGCGATTTTTAGTGGCTATGCGATCTGGCAATTTGCCAGATGTCCTCAAACTGAATACTGATAGACCCCAAAATAGCACGTATCTACGTCTTTCCTAGGTTGATAAAATGCCCTATCTTCCGTACGTTCAGAGACCGCTTACGATGAGTTGTGACAATGGAAGTATTGACAAATGGCGTCGCGACTGAAAACGCGTATGGTATGTTTTCGACCAATGTGGGTTACTAGTACGATATCTCTTTACGTTTTTGCCTACGAAATGACGTCAGCATGATCGTGTGCTATCCTTGCCGAACTCTGATCTGCAGAAATACCCACGCTACGCTGATCTTCTAGAAGCAGAGTTTCACCAAATTTTGGAAGTCGTACTTTTGCCTATTACATGTTTCTCAGCCCTGGCTGACCCTGTCTAACCTTGCGCTGGTTCATAGTTGCGTGAAATTTCCTAAAACTTGCTTTTTGAAGGCGTATGGAGGAAATCTAGACGAGATGTGCTTCCTCGCCGCAGTTTAGGAATGACGAGGACGTCACCGTCTGGAATGACTGTTAAAGGCGAAAGGCGTAACCGGCGCGGGCCAAATTTCCCGGGCCATTAAAAGTGCAATTTTCTTGGGGTAAAAGGCAGATTTGGGCACAGGGCCCGGCACGAGTCCGTTTCTAGGCTTTTTGAAAATGAAGTCCCTCTGACTTTCGAAAATTTTACGAAGTCCCCTTTGACCCTTGCTCTACCCTCCCCCCCCCTCCGATTGTTGATGGATCCTTGCATATTCACTTAGTTCTTGACAGAACCATCTACCTGCTGCGAGCTGAGAATCTCGCGATTTCAGGTCAAACTCTCAAAGAAAAATCACAAAATGCACAGAATATTGCTTCATAAAGCCCTATATTGTCACAGAACGATCAAAATAGATCATGAGCTGAAGAAAGAAGAAGAAGAAAGACGGAAGAAATCATCAAAATATTGGAAAAAGCTAGAACTGAAAATGAAAATTCAAAAGGAGAGGATGCAGCGAAGTTGACGCTGGAGCGAGATATCTAATAAGGCGATTTTCGGGAAAAAAAGAGGATAAAGAACGACGGACAGGGGGTGATATGAAAATGTTTCTATGCTCAAGGATAGATTCTTGACAGGGGCAGCCGTCCATGCTAAAAAGATCCGAAATTTATGTAAAGTGACGAAAATATATGCTCCAGACGATCTCAGATCGTCTGGTGGCCGTCTGGAGATGATCTAATTTTGGGAAAAGGTATTACTTCACATAAGTTTTCAAATCTTTTTACATGATCCTTCCGCAAATAATTTTCCATGCATACAGTTCAATTTTGGTGTCATATGGTTCTGTGTGCGCTATAAACATGCAATTTGTTTATTTTAGCCTTGCTTTCAAATCGCGCGCACTTTTCGTCATACACAATAGAGCATGTCAATCGTGTGATAACCTGTCCGAAAAGTTGTGTTCGACTAAATGGCGCTCATCCTTTGTGCTCGGCCCCAACTCGTCAAAAACGAAATCCTTATTGCTTTTTGCTCCAAAAACGAAGTTCAGCCTGCTTCAAGACGATCTGTGCCGGGCCCTGTTTGGAAACTGGCCTACCTAGAAAGCCTTGTGACAGAACATATGTATATCACATTATGGTAAGATGCTGCTTTTGAGCCGATAAAGTGAGCAGCACAACACTCTTAATATATTTATCATCTATTCTACGACTAGGAGACGCGTGACGGCATTGCGGGCATTGTCTTAACATGTTTAACACGTTGACGACCGTGTGTATCCGCGCGTATGCACGCCCAGACCACCTTTTAGCACTTTCGTGCATCAATTTATCATGTGTAAATGAAAAGTTCTCAGGCAGCTTCCATGCAGTGATAACACTGGTGGTGTGGTTGTCATATAGAACGCACGGCGTTACGGTAGCTGTTAAACTGTCCAAAGCGCAGCCGTAGATCAGCAGTCCATTTTGATGTGGTCAAAAATGGCTCTTCCCTGTTTCCGAAGAGTGCATGAACGTGGGCGAGATAAATGACAAGTATAAACCTGCTAAGTACACGATCAAGCTTGTTTAGACAATGTGTGCAAAGCGGTCTCCCGTCTCCTAGTCCTAGAATGAATGATACCTCATGTTCTTGTAGAGTTATTAGTTTTTTCCATTACATATAGCTCCTCCTAGCATCAATCCCCAAGACGTTATCGCGGTCAATCTTCGCCTTATCAATCCCTTTTTGAGCAGTTATCAGTGTGCGTCATGTCGCAGTGTGTAAGATCAGGCGACCCGTTGATAGCGATAGTGCGCAAAAAGCGAAGCAAAAGTGCAGTGGATTATTGACCTCAGTACGTTGACAGAATGCTTCGTGCGGAAATGTCTTGAATAACGTTAGTTCTAAGAAACCCTCCCCCTTCCGGAGTTCAAAGCGAGGATCAATCTAATAAGGAATCAATGACTATCATATTTTGTAATCGGTCAATCCTCCTATGGCCTTGGCCACACCTCACGCCGGGATTCGGCAACAGTCCAATTGTCCATAACTCAAGGTAAGCGCATTCTGAATTCAGATAGGATAGGGCAATCTACGAACAATCTACGAAAGTCGTACAGACTGCATGTGCGGTCTGCAAGTGTTGGATTCAAGAAAGTTAGCCAAATTACCAGATCGCAAGGCGACTGAAATGCGTGAGATATGGCCAAGACCCACGGACTCCATGACTCTACCGTCACGCGCATACGCGGCAAAACCGAACATGATTGTATCCACCTCATTCAAGGATTTACAAGTTCTTGCGAATTTCCCGTTTATCTATTTACTGCCAGAGTGACGAAAAAGTCTGCACAGTGCGTGAGAGGAGAGCCAAAACTTCAACTTTTCGGTTTACCCCGCGTGCATCGCTTGTCTTGATAAAAGATTTACGTAACACATTAGGACAGATAGTACATCTTCAATTAACGCAAGCGAGTAAGAACAGCGCCTTTTATCTTTCAGGTTTTAGCAATTCTAAGCGACCAGCCAGAGTAAAAAATTCATAAATTATCGTTTTGAGTTTTCGATAACTGCTACTACTTGAACTAACCCCTGTCGCTTCATATAAACTAGATGAAGCTTTTTTTGCTCCTTTAACACACTGACGACCATGAAGATTTTTAGTTGTCCGCTTTTGGGACCAAGGTCTTTTTACGGGCCAGCCCACTTTTTCAACTATAATTACGCATACTGCCATCTACAGTACACCTACAGTAGATCTGAAAGACTGACAAGAAAGGTAGAAGTCACACACATGGTGTGTCAAGCGGTCCCACGCGGTAGTCATTGCTTGACACACCATGTGTGTCAAGCAGTCGACAATGTGTTAAACGGCACTTAGCTATCGTCTCCCTTTAAAATCCATAACTATTTCTCCTATATACGCAGGTCGTGACATTTTGTGTAAGTGGCAAATTTCAGCAAAGAAAATTGAGCTCAATCGATTGAGTAAATTTTTGAATGTTTACCTGGTCATCTCATCGCCTTGCATCTCCACCACACTTCCTCCCTTGATCTTTGCGACCATTGTTAGTGTACCTGAAGCAGAACAATTTATAAATGGAATAAGAATACATCACGATTAGACGATAACAGCGCCGCATTTCTTATGAGAACAGAATTTTTTATGAGAAAATGACTAGAACAAGTTTTTTTCTACTATAATGATGCGTAGTAGTCCATGGAGTGCAGCGCGATGCGCACGTCCGAGATAGGAGTTGACCTTTGATCAATCGCCAAGGTAAAGAGGGGAGGCTGCACCGATTGAGCCGGTGGTTCACCTTGTCGGTGTACGCGTGAACTTTGGTCAGAGCACAATGGATAGAACATCGAGATGATCAAATCAAAAGAGGTTTATATATGTGCTCGAATTTGTAGTTTTTGGTGGAAATAAGAAGGATTTCCGAAGTGAGACATTCTCTTCATTTGCAGGACATGTTTCACATCCAGACGAGCTCCAATGAAATAAAATAATTTGATGTCTTTTTCAAAATTATAATTTGACCTCAATGGAACAATTTTTTGCTTAAACCAGTGGCTAGATTTTATAAGAAGGTAAGCGTCCCATGGACAAGTAGACGTAAGTAAGCAAACCAGAAAGCACAGATTTGTTTATTTTCAGGTTAAAGCACGAGTTTGACTTGTCAAGCGAGCGTAAATTCTATGCCTTGATTGGTTGACAGATTCTTTTTCCTATTAGCTAAAAAGGTAAATGGTGGTTTAGGGTTGTATCCAATATTTAACTGGATAAATGGCGGTTTCTATTAGGTCGTTCCGAAAGTAATGTCGCTTTTTTCAAAAGTATGCCACATCTCGTGGAACAAAGATATGTAAGAGATTCTGGTAGCATTTGATGCAGCATTTCATTCTCTTTCTAACGGTTATGAAATTGTTGTAATACAGTCAATGAGCTTCCAGCAAAGAGTCAAAATCTGCGACCTATGCTTTTTGAGACGGCTAAGTTTCACAATTTTTCTAAAATTTTTTAACAAACCTCAGAAGGAGTCCAAGTAGTAGATGGATGAAGCAAACCCTACAGGAAACAGCACAACTTTTTTCTACTTTCCAGAGCTCGTCATAATTTTTTACAGATTTTTTGATGGAACCACCGAATTTTAGCAGGCTCGTCTCAGACACAAGTGCATCAAACGCCAACATGTCTCCGGATTTTAAAAGTTACAAAGATGGATTATGGTTTGGCAACAATTTTGCAAACCAAACGAGCATTCACCGCTTCGGTTTAGCAACTCTCGAAAATTTCGGGTACACGTTGGGGTGCCTTGGAAAAGTTGAATTATGATGATTTTATCTCGGAAAACTTGATGAATCGGAAACAAAAAACGACCGCTAAAAACAGGAGAAAAAGCTGCATCGAATGACATCCGAATCGCTTGCCAGTTGTTGTTCTGTGAGGTTTGACTTGACTAAATATGGAATTTGATGGCATTGAGAAATTGATTGTAGAAACTCTGAGAAGCAAGCTAAGGAAAAGAAAAAATTACTCTGTGTTCTATAGTGTTTGCTCTATCTACTTGGCACTTGTACTTTTTCGGAGATTAGGTACAAAAATTTAGAAAAATAGCCGAACTTGACTATGGCAAAAAGCATGAGTCGCAGATTTTGGTAATTTTTCGAGAGCTCATTGAACATTATGCAGTGATATTAGAACCATTAGAAAGAGGATGAAATGGTGCATCGAATGCTTCTAAGATCTCTTGAAAATGTTGATTCCACGAATAATGGCGTTCATTCGAAAAAAGCGACATTACTTTCGGAACGACCTAATATAATATAGATCAAAGTCCAAAAACAGCTTTAAAATGATGCAACGCTTACATTTGAAAAGCAGTAAAAAATGACGTTTGCCACCATGCACTACTACTACGGTTTGTGTAGCTCTTCAAGTTCATCAATATACATAGTTCTCTTCTATTTTTATGTTTACATATCTCAAACATGATCATATTGCCTCAAAAGCTCACTCTGTCTTCAGTATTATACTCACAAGTCCGCACTAACACTGTTTGGTGGAATTTATCACCAAACTTCAAATTTATGTCACTCAAAGTTTCATGCATTTGGAAAGGTAAGTCTAGGAGTGAATGTCAATCATTGAAAGAGGAGTAGTTACGTTATCTTAAAGCAAATAGAAAGGTAAAAAAGAAAGACAAGGATTATAAACTATAAAGTTTATTGATGTTGCGAAGACGAGTAAAAGCGATGAAAAAGTTTGCAACATAGGAAAGTTTTTTAGTCTGACCAGTCTTTTTCTGCAAATACGACAGCGTACAGGGTCGACACCTTGTAAACACTCGTGCCTGATCGTTCGGTTGAATGACAAACATGTGAACAAAACGGGAATCAATCAGAAGTGCGAAGTGAAGTATCGAATTAAGATTTAAGCACTACTGGCTCGAACGATGCGTTCAAACATATGTACATAGTACATAGTGCCATACATTATCTACGGAATATTTTGGTGCTAAAATATAGAAGCTTCCCGGTTACGTCTTGCCTTTATCGCCTTCATAATTTTTGACTTGTCGAAGAGGTGAGGGTAAGAATAAAATTCTACGAAAGAACGAAAACGGAGAGATAATACTACATCAGAAGTAACACTTTTTTTGTTGTCTGGTGTTTTTTGACAGCTGTTGAGCGTTCTATGTCAACATGATATCACAATTAGGTTGGAAAGAAAAGAATGTCGTGTTATGGCAAAGCAATGAAAGGGAACATAGAAATTGTGAAGGGGTACCATTCAATAGAGCGAAGCAAGCTTTAAAAGATAACCTTTGAACCTTAGCATAAGTTGTAATTAACGCAAAGTTTGAAGCAAAACAATTTTCAGCAACACATGTAGGAAATAATTGGATTCGCCCCAATAAGTCCTGAAAATTTACTGCTTGCTCCGCGCCTCTTGCTATTGCTTGTAGCAAATACAGAAATTCATCCATAAATATGCTTGTCATATTTTTTTCGTGGTTAGAAATCAAGAAAAATGGAGCGAAAAATGGCAAACTTTATTACTGCCACATAGTTCTAAATTACTCCATATATGCAGTTGGGTACTACAAACCTTCGGGACATTTACCATAAGAATTCAGCGATATACGTGTCTTAGTCACCATGGAATATCTTTAGCTGAACAGACTGAGAAAGCGAAACTATTCTCTTTTTAACGTAATAGATTGATTTCAGCAACTGAGTCTAAATTGAGTATTTGACACCTTTTCTAAATAAGCCGCTTTTCTTTGCTTGCCTAGGGGGGATTTCCATCGCATCTTGATGACAGAGAAACATTACAAAAGCATCTATTAGACTGTTGAGTATATGTAGATGCTCATACGCCTCAGTCTTGTTCTACAATGCCTCATAAAAATGCTGTTTAAAAGCCTTCATAGCATTGCTACCGCGGTCTGTGAAATCAGACTACAGGTGTCACATTTTTTGTTGTAAAAACGGCAATGATGAAGCTACAGAATTACAAAAGCTTTAATAAAGAATTATTTCTGTTCTGGAGACGTCACCAGCAGTGCAAAAGATTGCATCGGCATGCAATGCGGCTGATGTCGGCCTTTCTCATGCGGCTCGGAACATGCGAAAAGGTCAGTCGAGATAAGAATGCAATGTACGCGTGAAAGAGAACTATGTGATATTTACTTAGGAGCTGTTGTGAATTAGAGATAAGCAGTTCAAAAAATAAAAGCTGATTTTCTCAGGTCGCTTTCCAATAATATGAAAATTAATACTACACTCTGCATTCAGGGTTTCATACTGCTTAGAAAAACAAAGTACATTTGCTCATTTATACAGTTGGCCTATTCATCAAAATTTGAACATTGTCGCAAAAATATAAGCTGTTCCTTACGAATAGTCTTTTGTGTGACAACCCTTAATGCATCCCAAATATTATATCACGCATTCGATTAGTTGAATATTTGAATATCTCGCATATTCAAATGAACAACTACATAGTATACACATGGCAGTCAGAAAATCGAATAACCAAAAGTTGGTTATCTTTGAGACTCTTTGTTCTTCAAATAATGAATTTCAGCCTTTCATACTAATTTCTCTACTCGAACGAACTCGATTCGCTTTGAAGTAGAAGTTTGAGTTTCCATCTATCCAATGACATACTCGAATAGTCACGAAGGCCCCCTCCCCTCTTTCCTCCTAACTCGAGAACTTAAGTTTTCTAGGAGCAGTCCACATAGTTATTAAAATGCGCAAGTGACTTATTTTCACTTCTGATTTCAAATTTTTCAAAAAATCTGAAAATTTAGTCCCTTAGAAAGTAACCCTTTCTTTGGAAACTTGGAGTTACGGGTCTGCAAAAACCCGAAGAGCATTTCAGAAAATTTTTCGGAGCACGTAGCTAATGCCATGCCCCCTTCCGAGAAAATTTTCCACCCCCCCCCCCTCCTCCCCCTCCCTCCCCTCGGAAAGTGATTTCGCGCATCGCTACTTCTCTACACCAATAGAAGAGCCATAACAGGCACCTCCATCTATCCTGACACATTTCCCCCCCCCCCCCACTTTGAACAAGCGTAATATCCATTTATGGCCCCGGTCAGACTTCACGCGACTTAATCGTCGCGACCAAATCGCCAAGATTTCCATTCATTTTCATTTCACATTCAACAATTTCGGTCTGGAAAAGTATCACGACCGAATGCAAGTTAATCGGCATGGAATGATGTTGTAACAGTTGTCTCCTCGCGATTCAGTCGCGACGATCAAATCGCGTGAAGTCTGCCCGGGGCCTATGCCAACCCGCTACTTCACACCAACTTATGAACTACGGCTATTCACAGTTTGCTTCCTAGCGAGTTTCCTATAAGTACCGTCGATTGCCTTTTGGGATGATATGAATGCAAGTATGCATATATACTCATGCGTTCTTTGTAAATTAAGATTTGCACTAATTGTAAAATCTTAGACGTGTGGCTTATCCATATCTTTTGCATGCCCTTTGCCCGATCATTTCTTTCTCACAGAGCTTCGTTAGGGTAAATATCATCCATTGTACATTCAGTTAGTTGCTTTTCTCCGGTTTCAAAGCGTTTACTTAGAGTAAGCGTCTTAGACTAGCTAAAGTCGTGTTAGAAGCGAAAACCAGCAAGTTAAGCTCACGAACGGTGGTTGCGGGCGCAGACGATACGTCCACCACCAACGCCAATCCACCATCTGCAGATTGTTTCAAATTCGGATCTTCAAATCAGCAAAGTTTTGTCGATTTATCATAAAGTTTAAGAGGGTAACGTAGTTGAGGTCCGGAAGAGACAAGGTAGATTCGAACTTTTCCCATAGATTTCCAGTCAATGAAA